GCTCACATCGTCAACGACGTCACCGTAGACATTTCAGCTTTCGTTTTGGGCTAGGTTGTCCGAAAGATTTCACCGGACTACTCCCAACATTTCTCTGATTAACATAAGCTGGTTCTGTCAACGAAAGCGGCTCATCGCGTATCCCCGCAAGTCACGCGTCAAATCCGAAATAATGATCCATCAGTCTCATCACGCTTGTGCCCATTTTCAACGGCGAAACTAAGGCTTGCTAAGGTGGAGTTCGTGCATTTGCTGGAACTTGGAATAATTTGTCCACCAAATAGTCCTGGTCCACTCCACACCTATTACTTTCAAAGAAATCTGGCGGCTGGCATCCCTGAGATGACTACGCTGCACCAACTTAACTTACGATTCTCGATGGCTAAACTATCCTACCCGTACTTGAGCTTACTGTACAGCTTCAGGGTAAGGAGTTTTATAGCAATATCGGTCCCGTTCTTGTCCATCTCCAGATACCTGTCGAGGAAGCTGATCTACCGAACACGGCCTTCTTCATATCCTTTAGCTTGTTTGAATGTTTACTTTTGGCAGTAAAACGCCGCAAGACCTTTCAAAACCTCAGCCATGCTGGCACTCATGGTCTAACCTTTTCATGCGCCTAACTCGACGGCAATGGCTTTGTCAGTTTATCTGACGAATAGCACTTGTATCACCTTTAGTAACGCTTCCAACAGCTGAACAATATGGCACCACCGCTAACCCAAATAACTCTGAACTTCGTAGGGGCACGTTATCTCCGTGGATTTTGTCGTCTAGTCAACCACTGTCAAAGCTTCACTCCCGGCCGAGCTTAGACCCTGCAACTTGTGATTGACCTGCTTAGAAGGAACCAGCGCAAGCTACGCTTCCCCAAAGCTGCACACACAGACTTCAACCGAGCTCAACGATGTTATCTTTAACGTGGCGCTCATCGTCTACTCCGAACCCCCTGCTCCGGTTTCATCTACAACTGCCGATTCAGACGTTGCGGTATGGGCTGTTCTAAACTTAGTCGTTGGTGGAAAGTGGCGACCACTCTTTTTATCTTCATACGCCTGCGACCAGCTGAATCCTGCTACAGTACGTTTGGCAGATAACTGCCGAATATCTACTGAGCTGTCCGTCACTTTTGCAACACATTAGGAGGACAATCTTTCGGGGTCTAGACTGAGCAATAACCTCGACTTTTCGCCTTCAACTGATATCCTGACAATATTCACCTTGGGAAACCAGCCACCTAGACTATGTCACGCGGTTATCAAGTGTCGCCAACCCAGTCGCTGGCGATCAAACACACGTCAAATTTACTACTCAGTTTTTGATTATTTTCGACCTCGCTCTCTCCATCGGATGATGCCCCTGACGAAAAGTACCGACGCATCCTGCAGCCCAATTCACTGCATGTGCTACCGATTCCTCTCTAATGTACGTATGGCACTGTCTATTGAGACACTTTCACAAGTTGTCCAAGACCCCTCGTGCAGCCCTCTTAAAGGCACTATGACTACGACAGCCTAATCTCTCAGTCTCAATCTAGTATTCGTACCTTCTAAGACTTTGCACTCAGCTTGTTGGTCGGCCAATCGTACTCAAGGGTGGTCGTAACAGGACGCGAGCTTGCTGTACTGCCAGCGCTCCAAAGTACAATGACACAGCCGTGGTCATCCCTGCTCGTTCCCCGCCCTGAATTCCCGGATCTCACAAATCCACTTAAACTGGATGGGGGACCTACAAACTTTTCGCGGAATATACACTACTCCCATGTGTCGACCGCTTCACTAGATAGTCAGAAGCCATCCCAATATCAAAGTGCACGAACGAAACCGTCGTCCGTGCCTTGTTGGACAATACGGAATCATAGTACGGATGCTCATCTGCTAGCAAACCAGACCGTGGCACCCAGTTCAAATCCTTAAATCACTATAAGCTCTCCAAGCTAGGTCGCTAGCATAACAACACACTACGGCATAGCATCTAGCAGCAAATGGCCCAATTAAACGATTTCATCGATAGCCTAAGTCATCTCTCTGCCACGTCTAAAGCTGGGTGGAGCAAAGCAAATACGCAAGTACGTTTAGGTTCACTCAGTAACACCGAAGCTGGGTTGCAGTGCGTACCAACGGAGGTAGTCTAGGGCGTAACACTTAAGCGGCCAGCCGAGTTCATTTCGCCCCTCCTGATCCTCGTGTATGCTACCGTCAATATTCCGAGCCTCCTTTACTCCGCACACGCTTTCGCTGCGCCCGGCTCCACCCATGAGCTGAGAAGAGATGGATAAATGCACCGTGGTGTCCCTACTTAAACACACGTTTCAGCCTGCGCAGAGGAACTGCATCGCCATCTTCACTCTCACGCAATGTGACTTCAGCTTTCTCCAGGGTAACCCCGACTATGTTGCTGTAGAGCAAAATGAAGCAAAACAAAGGCGTCCAAGGACCGTCTAAAGGTTGAATTCTTCGAAGGGCCGCCTAGAACCTTTAACTGCGCAGCCGCAAATGTAGATGCACTCGCAACTGCAATTTCCGCATCAAACACCCCGGACCCCTCTGGTAACCTTGACCCACCGGAAACTCAGCTATAACCTAAGGCAACTGACCGACGCCGTTGGCTGGAGAGATTTCCAGCCCGCTATTTAGCGGCTGCAACGGTTGGTTGCTTTGCCTGACATGCGCATTTTTCCACATTTCCTAGTAAGCGCGGGTTATATTCACAACCGAAAAACAAACAAAAATAGACGCGGAAACCGTTTAAAATAAACAGAGAGGTCTGCGTAAGTTGTATCATAAAACTGCCTAGAGTGCATACAGCCTGTCCCGACCACGTCTCGCTGCCCCCGAATTTCACAACCCAGCACCAAAGTCTCATGAGAAACCGCAAATTTTCTGGCCCACCTTCCGGAAAAATCAGGCCCCGTCAGGCTGGCTCTTCAACGACCGTGTAGATCAAAGATAGCAAGGCCCACAAGTCCTATGAAACGGTTCTCCGAAGACAACATCCGGAATGCTTCTTGCGACAACATAACTCCTCGACGTGGGGTTTGGTGCGGTGGTATGTGAGACACTGCCTAAGCGCACCGTCGGGGATGCAAGGGTGGGAATTTCGTGTCGGCCTTGGATCTGGACTAGCCAAATTTTGCAGCCCAGCCAGGCCGTTCCGTCGGCTGATCGACGACGCATCTCAGTCTATGCAAAACCAATAGATAAACAATATCAAAGAAGTCTTGACTCAACGTACTCCACGCGCCCCTTACTGTACGCCATGGCCCAATGCAATTCCTACCTTGTTCTCCCTCGATTACTTGGTCTCCTAACCTGACGGCTATGAAAACTTTCTATACATCACCGTTCTAATTGAAGACCACCGTAGAGAAAACAAGTCAGGAAAAGCTTTAAGGACCTACATGGATGCATTTACAGCTTTTTAAACTATCTACCACAAATGTGCCATAAACTTCAATAGAAATGAACCGAATTTTACAATTTTAAGAACAGAATGGTTAGTGGTGCACCGAAGTCACCTAATTAAAATGTCCTGAACGTTTACGCAAAGACTGCATCTTAAGTGAACAAAGTATAAGATTCCTCAACAAGTTGACGATGCCAAAAATTGTCAGAAGGTTTATTGCTAGCTTGGTTCAAATGGATAAACGCGGCCAAATGCGAGTTTTGCGTGGTGTCGCAGAGACGTTTTAGAAACACGGTGAGATTGTGAGACCTAGCGACCTTGAAACTGGCAAGGCAAAGAATTCAACTGAAGATTCAAATAAAAAAATACGTTTGCAGTAGTTAGAGCTAAGCACGGTGTTTAGGGGGAGGGCGACAACGGCAAAATTAAAAGCCTTGCATTCACGCGTTCAATACTTTGAGCTAGTGAACATTTCTTTGTATGTAGCTTCCAATTGTCTATTGTTTAACTAATATTACATATCGAACACTTGCTGCCGTTGTCAGGCAAGTAGAAAAATACAGTTTGCCGACGCTTACCTGTACTCCATTTTATGTGACTTTTGTCAGTGCACACTGGGTTCAGTTGAGCTAATGGTTCTCCCAACTTCCGTATTCGGCATGTCGTTTACGTGGCTGCTCTAGCGACTGGCAGATGGGTAGCGCATCACAAGTCGATTTCAAATGTTCCCTTCCGATGGCACAGTCACTATTTCCGCGTAGACGGAAATTTGCCTAGCGGATACAACCTTTTATTTCCTTACATAAGACTTCCTAATAACCATTTACTGGCGCGTTAAAGATGTAAACAACTATATGATTTGGCAAGGAAGGGGCATAGGTCGACAACTAGGCTTAACGCTCTACCGCAAAAAAGCATACATGCATTATCATTAGCTAGACTGGCAACACATGGCGAACAAGAATAGCTAAGCTAAACTAAGTTGTGCAACTTAATTGACGGCAATACTTAACCGATGATTTTATTCGGTTATTGGAATGCTGACTAGTACGTCTACCAGACCAAATGCATGATAATTAATGGACGAAATTACGCTTCACTTGCATACTAGTAGCTGTAAAATGCCACAGGAAATTTAAGAACACGCTGAACGTTAACAACCTAACAGGTTCCAGTCGAACGCTTCAAGTGCTTTGTTTGTTTGCGTCGATCTTATAATGTTCATGCCATCCTTCGTTGTGCGCGCTTTTGAGTTAGACACTGGGTCTGTTGTTTTAGCAGCGGCAGGAATTTAAAACCTGAGTGCCTTATTCCTAATCTACCATAATTGACGGCACAGGTATTTTTTAACAGTACCGTTTTTATTCACAGTGAAAGTGGCTTGGTTGGTTAAACTGCCGTTCTATTACTGCACTAAGTGGTTGGAGTTATTTAACTGCTGGATGTTATGCACTACTGGAAAGTGAAACTAATAGGAGCTCATTAAAATGTAATTATGAGCCTGAGCTTAACTACAAAATTGTTCATTGCTAGTTGTATAAATCGCCTTAGTGATTAGAATTAACTGACGAAGCATTTGACTTGCTTTAGTCAAGGTCAAACCTAACAACTCCACCTACTCGTATTTGTGCCTTTTCTGCACTGCGAATTCGACGGCATAATGGGTGATTCGTGTCTTAATGATCACTCATGCTGCAAAGTTTTGACATTGAAAACTATAAATCCAAATGTGTTACGACTCGAGTATGCTGTGCGAGGACCTATTGTTCAAAGGGCAAATCTGCTTGAGAGGGAACTCAAGGATGTGAGTACAACTCACGGTACCATAACTTTTTAGAATTCGTCTGCTCCCTTTTCGCAAATAATAAAGTGCAATATTGGAGATTGCCATGCTACAGGTCAGCGTCCGATCACCTTCTACCGTCAGGTGATGGCTATTTTATGCTGTCCAAGCCTGCTAGAAGATAGCAATTTTCCTCCGGATGCGAAAGAACGGGCGAAACGGATCCTCAGTTCTTGCAGCGGAAAGAGTGTTGGTAAGCACCGTACCGTTGTAGTTTTCGTTTGCATGCAATATTCTAATATCTTTTTTCTTTGTGTATTGTGTTTTTCTTCGCTTTGTGCGTCCTATCGCGTGCCAGCTTGGCGTGTATTTTTATCCCGTTCAATAAGCTTGGTAGGGCTACGAGAATATCTTCAATGCTGGAAGGAGCTTACTGAGACTCCCGTAGTCGTTCCATACTTATTGTGTCGTAAATATACCTTGAATTCGATGGTACGATTGGTCAATTCTAGGAAATGAATCAGCACGCACAGATCACATGTCAAACAAAAGAAACCCACGTGCGCTGCGCTTGCAGTCCTTGCCGCGCCGGCTGCCTGCAATAAAAAATGGAAGATTAAAGTGGTAATCTGCGTATAACATGGGAGGGTAATAAGGTAGTTTGCATAGGAATCTGGTAAGTGAGGAGAACGGCAATGGGATAGCCATCCGAAAGGGAACGGAAACGGAAGTATAGATTTCTAGCTATAAGTTGAGGATGTCGAGAGGACGTCTGGACTATGCCACCGTGGATGACAATACGATGTCCTCTGGGGTTTCCGAAGAATTTCCGATTGCTCTTAGTTACTAAGTTCCGTGTTACTAATTTGTTTTGCAGTGAGCTTGTCTTCTGTCTTCCGAATCTATAAGACTGGTAAATCTAAGTCTTTACCAAGGCACATATCGTACGAGTGAGGTGAAACACAGTTCTCTGTTCAGTAACAAGATGAGAACCAATGAATCGAACAGCAATCAGCTTCGGCACAATATCTCAGAGTAGATAATGAGTATATGGATTAAAGCGAAGTAAATAAAGGGTGGGAGCTGCAAAGTAAGCACGTATTGCTTATACTTGAGCTATATTCAAATTGCGCATAAAAGACTAGTCTTGCACGTTGCTACAATTCGTTTCAAACCTGCTGCTCTTAGAGCTGCTTATGTCTCGATCAACAAACTATCATGTCACGCGGATCGTCGAAAACTTGCTAAGGGGTACCGCTTCGACTTTGTTGACATTGAATAATGGTTGAACCTTCGTGAAAGACATTTTTGGTCTGCTTCCGTGAAACTGAACGAATGTTAACCATAAATTAGTAAGTGAATTTTTGGAGACCATCGAATCAAAGTCTATCAACTTGCGGTGACTGACCTTTTTGAATGACCTCTATACTCCGCTGATATCGAAACGTGTTTGTTTGTCGATCAGCTTCTGCTGACGGGCATCGACGCTTAGATCGAAATTATACAGAAAATCCATTTCAGGGCTAGCAAAAGATACGGCAGTTACTGTAATAATGCAACGATCTTAATATTCAAAGGTGAGATCAATGGTGATGGAACGCTGGTCAGAGGTTGTTATGGGCTTTTATTTCGTGGCACGTAAGTTTGCTCTCCATCGCGTAATCCATTGGTTTGGGCGTGTTGGTATCACAATGACTTCCGCGCCAGTCTCGATGAGGAGCATGGTCCCTGAGATTCGTTCGGTTGTCTTTAATGGACGACTTGCGGTATTTCGAGTATCGAAATCAATTTCTAGTACTTGTAGTTCAGCTGTTACCAAGTTCCGGTTGGTTGGCATCGATTGACTGGTCTTTGGTCTTCCTCACACTGGATCTGACGACGTCTTTCAAGACCGCAAGTGATGCGTTTTCCTTTTCAGTGCGAAGGGGCAAAGTTCTATACAGGTTGTAGCGACGCTGCCAAACGGTGTGTGGTAACCGCAAATAGAGCCTCGTGTGGTACTGCGCTGCCGCCGGTTTAGGCCCAGACGTTGTTCCCCTCTATTCAGTGAGGCGATTTTATCCACTAGTTCATGCATTGAAGGCAGGTTGGTTGCGTTGTCATTTAATAGAGCTACAGTCTGTATCGAGTGGGGCGCGTCAACTGGCCGGGCGATGCTAGACGAAGCGCAAGATGGCTCAGTATAGTATTACAGTATGCTATCTGTGATTTTGGCGGTTCCTGACGACGGTTTTGACTTCACGAAACATACGATAGCTTGCACGCGTTCAGGAAAACCTTGTAGTCAAAGTTGGTGAAACAGCGATTCGCCTATGCTTAAAACTTCTTAAGAGATGACGCATCTCTAGCTAGTGTCCTAACTGTAAACCGGAAGAGTTAATGCAAAAGAACTATCCGAAGGTGTGCAACGTTTTCTTATTAGGATTAGCTGGATCAAACGAACTGAATGGCAAGATCCATGATTAGATGAGATTGCAAGTCATTGAATTTGCCTAAATGCAGGTGACACGTTTACTAGGAAATTACGCCTCTAAGATCACGAACCATACAGCGATGTTTACCTCCATGAACGAAAGAACTACTAGAGTGACTGAATGCATAGTCCGCTGGTCCTCACTATATATGGAAGCGAAGTTCATAGCTAAGAGATGAATTGTCATTTAATGAAAATGAACAAAGTGGGGTCACGAAATGGACAAGGTAAATTGGAACGGACTCACTTAAAGGAGGGAAGATTATTCTAACTGTAGTCCCCAATGTATTGGTGGAATTGTTTCGGACAGTTATCACCAATGTAACATGAGTGGCCGGCTCATGTTTACAGAATTGGAGTATTCGATATGCTGCCGGCGCTTGCCGTTCCCGATAATTGAGGACAAGGCACGGGAATGACGGATCAAAGGTGTATTGTGATGCACACATCCCATGTATTGGGTAAAGGTATGACCCCTAAACAACGCGTGCTGAATCCAACCGTGGCATGTGTATATGCTGTGTATTTGGTCAGACATACATTTCTGCGATCTGCAAGCAACCTCAGATAAACCGGGAGGTTATCCAGACCGCTACAAGTGATCTAAGCTCACAGTACTCACTAGAGACTAGCTGCACTCGCCACTAACATGACATACTCATACTTGCGCGTGTTTACTCGGAGGAAGTATATAGAGAGCAACTCCACGCAAGTTGTAAGAGAGAGGGCTATTGCAGTGAGCGTTTGGTTCGTGAGAGCGCCGGGTATTTCCTTCAGGCTTGAACCTGGTGCTTATCGGCTAATAACTCCTTTAAATTTACTACATTAGTTTCGATTGTGAACTTCGTCCTTCCACTATCTTTTGCGCTTTATTAACGAGTAATCGGAAGGTGGTGTCTAAGTTGTGGGCATCGTGTCACCATTTGCGTCGTGCGCAACCAAGCATGACACACTGCTTGTCGTCAGCTATCCACCATGCGACAACAAAATTTCAGCCACTTCTGGCCCCTGCGCTACTTGATGTGGTACGTCACATGTTATCGAAAGCACCGGTAATGATGCGACTATCTAAAGTGTTGTGTTTGGCTTGAATGCGATCAATGAGCAAAAGTCATGTTTCGGGGGCGACTGGTTTTGCCTTTTTAATTAAGAAACTGAATGGTAACATGGTTGCTGTTTTTGGCACTAGTTTCGCCTTGGTTTCATTATGTATCTCAACATTCCTTTGCTGTCTTTTACCAGCCTTTTCGCCGGCACGTATTTTTCTGTTTGAACGCTTGTTAAGACGTGTACACTCGTAACGCCCAGTTACACATATAAACCATACCACATTACCAGTAAAGTTAGCTATGGTTTTCTTTTACACTCACCGCACTTCGTTGCCTATGGGTTCAAACAATTGGTATCTTTCGTTTACATCCAAAGCATAAACCTCCACGTATCTGCGTTGATTATTTATGACACGAGTCACACTGGTCGCAGGACCAGTTGTTTCCAACTAATGCGTTTCTTCCTTTACTGCTCTTAATTGCGGGGAATATTTTACGCGTTTATCGGCTTGTTCAGAACCAATCCACATAACATTCAGAGCATTTATCCGAGGTTTGCAACCGCTCTCATAAGTTCGATGCTCTTATTGGTTACAGTGCCTTTTTCACTAGTCTTCAGGCTACGGATTTTACTGTTTCACGACACGATCCACACAATACTCTACCACCTGATCCAACAGGACTGCGCATGAACTAAAGTATTCTTTCTCTGGTCTGTCTATTGCTTTCTCTGTTTATAACCTTATATGTGTCAAAACTTGGACGTTTTGTTGCCCCGGTTTTCAAAAGTGATAATGATAACGATGTATTTTTACTGAAACATTTAGGCTCGTACAGTGACTCATTGGGTCTCAGAGTAATTCGCGAAGACGTGGCCACTTTCATTGAGCAAAGAGATGGGATTCCTTCCAATGTCGATGACATTTTTCTCTCCTGTGGCGCCAGTGAAGCCATCAAGGTTAGTTCTGACCGCCCGAAGATAGACTCATTCCATTCTTCCTATTTTGCTGATTAATCAGTTTGTTAACAAAGTGATTGCTGTTTTTGATATGCTAATTTTACGAGCTTTATTTCTTGATTGATTTTTAATAAGTTACCCAAATGCTATTTCATTTTTGTATGCCTTCTTCGCTCTATGTATCATTAGTGAGTAGTATCCCAACGATCGGGTTTTTGCAGTTTTACAGAACATTTAATGAACAAAGATGGAGGGCAAATTCACACACTTTTCTTGTTCCAGTTTTGGCTTAGTCGAAGTGAAGCGGAAACGGCTTTTGATATCAACGGTGCATTTAGTCCGGGGACCGCTACGGACCTTACGTTACCGTGGTGGTTTTCAACACTCCGAAAATGATGTGTGCCTTGGAAATGGTGTACGTTGTGGACGTTCGCCAGTAATAAACGATGATCAATTAGTCCTTAGTTGAAGCAGATCTGTGTAAACCTTTGCGAGATTTTGTGTCCGACTTGTCAGTGTCGGGAGATTGGCATGTTGAAAAGGCTTGAAAAGTAGGTGCCGTACGAATTGAATGAAAATAAAAGTCGTCGTTTTGAAGTGTTTTCTGTCCTTCTGCGCAATAAAATCGACCTGTTTCTCGATCGGCTTGTACATGCGATGAAAAGTGGATACCTTAAGAAAATCGATGACGGACTGCACAAAAGCACTTCCCAAAGTTGAAATAGCGCTCAAATTGGTCATGGTAACGTTTTGGTGATATGCGACTTGTCTTATCCATCACAGCTTTTTGAATCAGGAAGAAGCCATTACAGCGAAGAAGTGTTGTCAATAAAATTCCGAAATGAGCGGAAAATGTCAACACATGAGTTGGGCACTGGTCGACAGAAAGGGGCTAGTCTTCCTGCACGATAACGCTCAGACACACCTATCACAACCAACCTTGGGGAAGCCGCATGAGATGGTCTACGAAACTGCCTTATTCACCATACTCCCTTGACTTCTCGCCTACCGATTACCACTTTTGCAAGCACTTGGATAATTTCGCGAGAAATCTTTTAATATTCAAGAGGATGCTGACACCACATTGGACGAGTTCATCGTCGCCAAAACTCCAGAATTTTATTCATCCGAGGTAAATAAACTTGTTTCTTGTTAGCGAACTGTGTCGATTTAGTTGCCTTTTATTTCGATTAGGAATCTTATGTTTGTGCCAATATGTGTGCACTCGAATGTTATGATTAAAAGCCGCAATAACCTTAACAACCTAATATCACAATGATTTATATATGTTTCTCATCAGTAACAATCCAACTATTGGGACTGCTCATTTAATACAGCATGATCTTAACGCCAACATGAAATCATAGGACAGATGTTATTACAAATTTTACTGAGCAGCAAATTTTCGGGAAGTTCCATCGGTAAGAATGGTAAAAAGTAGACGAGGTCGAAAGTTGGATAAAATTAGTTATCCATAAATTTCAAGCACTTTACTAAGGCTATTCGTGGAACCAACTCTCGGGGACCTGCTTCCATATAGTTAATCTCTCGAAGAGTTTTGTCCACACTTCCACGCCCCATTTGGCTTCGTGTCGGTGTGTCGTAATAGCAAGAGAGCTATCATCGTTTTAGCTCATTTTCAGAGTGGTGGTTCCTTAGAGTGAATAATAGGCTCTCAGAGATAAATAAGCCCTCTGTTTTTGTATACCCTTTTAAGCCATTCAGTTCATCTCTCCTTCTGACTTTTTCGAGTCACAACGTGCTTTTGCCAATTTAGCTTAAGTAAACATATTTCTTCTCGCCGGTGGGTCTGTGACATTTCGCCACACGGGGTTGTATTAAATACTCATTCATTCATTCATTCCGTCACCTCAGGAGATCGGCCCAGTCGTAACCGGCAATGGAAAAGAAGTGTGCCGAAATAAAAATATTGTTAAAGGTGTGGTATATACCCGACAATTTCTGCTTCACGTCGTACATAGGGTTGACGTAGGAAAGTACAAATAAAAACAACAATATAAGCGATTTTGATATAGATCCAACGACTCCAGACATTCGAGTTGTAAAGTAAGTGACATGGGGAAATGAACTTCGCAGTGCATCAGGAACTGTCACGGGTAGTCGAGTTGTTTTCACTGAGAAAGAAGAGAACCGTTAGCAGTGTGCAACATATGTAAAGAGAGAAAGGAACTGTCAGGTTTGCATGATAGTAAGCGAGATAACCTCATGTTAGAATGGGCGTACGTAATATAGTCTAGTGAATATTATTCAGAAAGCTTGTACATATAATCATACATTTGTCCCTGTGTACCTATACTTCGACCGCTTCTTTATATATTGTTTCCACTGCAGCCCAGTGTCCTCAAAACTTTGATTTGCAACACAGTGAGGTACTTATCTAGCATTTTTCCAAACGATTGTTTAGATGCAGTTGCGATTTGATGCGCATCTCAAGATCTAGCGTCGCTTTTTCTTGACTGAGACACTTGTGGCGTCGCCATGACATTCGTCTCTCTAGCAAAGGGCAGGTTTATTGTACAACTGCTCGTGCTGTACTGTTGTACGGCTGTGAGACCTGTCCCATTCTTACCGTTGACCTGCGGGGACTATCCGTCTTCGAGCACCGCTGTCTGCGGTCCATTGCCCGTGTATAATGGCGGCACCATGTAAGCAATGTGAAAGTTAGATAGCGTCTTGGAACGAGGAAGCCACTCGCACATGGTCATCTCACTGCATCATCTGCGGTAGCTTGGACACGTATTGCGCACGCATGTTCACGTTATCCGCGTCGTGCGTTTTCGGTTACTGGACAGGGCTGGAAGAGACGGTTTGTTGGCAAGCCTACAACTTGGAGAAGCCACATGAAAAAGCTGACGAAACAGTTGATTTCGGTTGCTTCTTGTCGACTGCCTGGTTAAAGTCCGAGAGATGTAGATAATTGCTAGTTGGAGAACTTAGAAGCCATGATTCAAAATCGACATCAGTGGCGGACGTGTGCATCGGTGTTTTGCGGGGACCACCTTTCTCCCCCGAAAAAGGGAAACTGAAAAGTTCAAAAGCTGTGAGTGGTAAACTGGACAAACGATTGCTGTTGTCTGCTTTCTTTCTGATTCATACTGTTTTCCTATTTTTACACAATTCCGGTGGTACAATATCTGTACCACAGATTGTATATATGGTTGGCGGCATCCGGTTTCGGATTTGCCTGTCACTGTGGTCAGCCACAGGACGCCTGCGCCTCATCATCATCATCAACAGCAGTACATCAGCCATTTGGACTGGTGCTTCACTGCCATACAACCATGAGGAAATATGAAATAAAGAATAAGAAGAGGGAGAGAAGGGGGACTTACCTGAAAACCTTAATACCCTAAGCAAACATTCAGGGTCAAGGCGCCTACACCTTGTGTAGACAACATACCGTCACAAACAGCTGGCTATCGTGCAAAGATAAGGCGGCATCGGCGAGACAGCTTCCTTGCGGCTTTCACTGCCACGCGTCATAATCAGCCATTATCCCGCAGATAACTCAGCACCAAACACACTTTAAACAGACAATCCGATTAGGAGACGGCAGCAGACGCGCCACTGGTGTCGGTTGCTAACCATGTCCTGTAAAGTCTCAAGCCAAGCACAAGGTGAGTCACGTGGACTCCAACCCGGAAGGCGAGACGGACCAACGGCACCCAGTTTGGTCGTCAGTGACTTCATTTCCCGCTGCCAAGTCAACTTCTGTCCACCTCGAGCCTTGCGCCATCCTACACCTGGTAGACTGAACAAGGCCCTCCTAGGTAAGCGGTGACCAGGCATAGGTAGCACGTGCCCGAGCCAACGCAACTTATTCAGTGCTATCTGTTGTTCTAGGGTGCTAGCATGATTATCACCACCTAGTACTCGCCTACGCACATCATCGTTGCGGACACGCTGGTGCCATCCGACACCAGTAATGCTTCACAAACAACAATGATCAAAGACTTGAAGGTGCCTCAGATCTTCAGACCGAAGGGGCCAAGTTTCACTACCATAGAGCAGAACGGCCCTCACTGTGGCCTTGTATACACGGCCTTTCAGACGGAGGGAAACTCCCTTCTGTCGCCAAAGATGACGCAGGTTCAAGAAGGCAGCTCTGGCCTTTGCAATGCGTGAGCTCACGTCAGTTTCTATGCGCCCATCATTGCTGATGCAGCTGCCAAGATAAGGGAATTGATCAACCACCTCGAGTTCCTCGTTAGCAAGCGTCAAGGGGTCATCAAGTGGCTGGTGGTCCTGCAGCAACACTTTGCACTTTGAAGGTGCGAAGTGCATACCAAATAATGGGACCACTCTGGATAAGCTATTCAGGGTTGATTGTGCCGCCTCAACATTGTCGAAAAGCAAGACGATATCGTCCGCATAATCAAGATCAACTAACCTTTCACCAGGCAGCACTTCAACGCCTACATTGTGAGATTCCGCAAGGGAACACTCCATGATAGAATCCACGACGAAATTGAACAAAAACGGGGAAATCGGACAACTCTGACGAACGCCACTTGTAGTCGAAAAGCTAGCCGATAGGCCACCGTAGACCCTGACGCGGCCTGTAGTGTTCAAGTATAGAGCACGAAGGATGTTCACATATTTCGTGGGAACACTTTTTCGCGCAAGTAATTCTAACAGAATCGATCGATCGACTAAATCGGGGAACACAGCTATTGTCGGTCTGCAATATGCGTGGCGCTGCTCTAGCACCTGCCGCAAAGTAAATATATGGTATATACAGCCACGTCCTGGGCGAAAACCGGCCTGCTCTTCCCTAATCCGAGATTCCCGTTCTGCAGTGAGGCAACGAACAATAATCGAGGCCAGTAATTTTGTCACAACTGGCGTTAGGCTAATACCCCTGTGGTTCGCACAGTCGGTGCGACTGCCCTTTTTGTATATTGCCACTATAATCGATTCGCTCCGATTAGCCGGCACACTCTCTTCGTTCCAGATACGTTCGAATAGGGAGGTCAGTG